GCTGCTGCTGCTGCTGCTGCTGCTGCTGCTGCTGCTGCTCATTATCATCTGCTCTCCTCTTGACTCTGTTCCTCTCCCTACCCTTCTCGCTACTTCCCCTCTCTCTTCTGTTCTCTCCTCCTTATTCTCCACAGGTCGACAGATCAGGACGTGGAGCAGATGATACGAGACGTAAACAGCATCGCGAAAATGTCGACGATGCGAAACCATCCCCAGGTGATGATGATGATGATGATGATGATGGAGATGATGGAGATGATGATGATGATGGAGATGATGGAGATGATGATGAGAAGGGGGAGGTAGGGATGGAGGGAGGAGCAGGAGGAGGAGGTGGTGGAAGCATAGGATGGTTGACTTCCTATCAGAGCGACGCCTCTCAGTCTTCTACTCAACCATCTCCCAGCAAGGAATCTTCGTCGAAGCGAGTGAGGGGATGGAAGGCGTTTTGTCGTGGCTGACAGTCGTTTACAGCTCAAGAGCTCGAGCAATGTTGCCAACATCATGCGACTGAGTAGGAGCAGAAGATCCGACAGGTAACAAGCATCAGCAGCATCATCATCATCAGCAGCAGCAGCAGCAGCAGCAGGAGGAGGAGGAGGAAGGATGTAGTGGAATTCTTACGGTTCTCGCTTTCATTTCAGGAACATCTCACTGCTGCCGCCCTCCCACCTAGTAGCAGAGGAAGGAAGATCTAATCTGGAGGAGGAACAGGGGAGCGAGTATTATTGCTGCTGGAAGTACCTGCGAACTGATGGGAAAGTTGTGGACGGAATGCAGCACAGGTTGCTTCCTTCTTCCTCTTCCTCTTCCTCTCCCTCTCCCTCTCCCTCTCCCTCTCCCTCTTCCTCTTCCTCTTCCTCTTCCTCTTCCTCTTCCTCTTCATTCCTACTTCGTCCTGCTCTCCGCTCTAAAATGTGCTTTCTTTCTCGATATTTTTCTTTCACCTGTCCTTTACACTCCTTCCCTTATCCTCTCTTCTCCCTCCTCCTTCCTTCCCCCCTCCTCTTCCCTGCTCCCTGCTCCCTTCCCCGCCCTCCCTTCTCCCTCCTCCTCCCTCCTCCCTCCTCCCTCCTCCCTCCTTCTCACCATCTGCTCTCTCAGAACTCTTCAACCCTTCCAGTCTCGTTGGCACTCCCTCAGCGTCGAGAGCGACGAGTCCTTTGTCGCTCCGACAGTCTTCGAGAGCAAGACCAACCAGAAGAACACTCGTCTCAAGATGCTGCGCCGCATGTCCGATCTCGAGAAGTTGAGCAGGAAGGGAGATGGGACCAAGACACGGGATATGAAGATCAAAAGAAGGGACGCGGAAAGGGATCTGATGAATCTCATAAACGACTACGGCATCGGAACGAGAGGGAAGAAGAAGATGGAGGAGGGAGAGGAGGAGGAGGAGGAGGAGGAGGTGCTCAGTGGATGGATGGGCAAGCTGAACCAAGGAGCAAAGGGAGACAAGGAGCAGGACTGGAGGGATCGTCTCTTCGTCGTCCATGAGCACACGCTCTGCTACGTCTCGGAGAAGTTCAGCGGGACTCTCAACGACGCGCTTGACCTGAAGGAGGCAGAAGAGGTCGAGTTGTGCTCCTTCTCCTTGCCCAAAAGATCATCATCCTTTACCATTCGCACTTTTGACGGGAAGGACCTTGTGCTGTCGTGCAAGGACGAACAGGACAGGACGAGATGGGTGAAAGGAATTCGGACGACGATGAGGACGATAGAGAGCGAGAGGGCGGACAAGACTGAGAAGGAGGAGGAGGAGGAGGAGGAGGAGGAGGAAGAGGAGGAGGAGGAGGAGGGACAGGGAGAGCGGAAGAAAGAAGAGCCTGGACGACGAGATGAGTCGAGACGATCCGAGAGAGGAATAGTCTTCGCTCACCATCACGAAGAAGTGTCAAAGGAGGAGGATCAGCAGCAGGAGGAGGAGGAAGAAGAAGAGGAGGACGACGACGACGAAGAGGAGGACATCAAATCCACTTGTGCTGAAGGAGGAGCTGCAAGGCTGAGAGGGGACGAAGTTGGGGGCGAGAGCAGAAGTCGCTATGCTACAACCTACGAAGGATGCTCCGGTCAAGAGGAAGCTAGTCACGGTGGCAGAGAAGAGGAGGAAGATGAGACACTCAACCACGATCAAGAGCAGCAGCAGCAGCAGCAGCAGCAGCAGCAGCAGCAGCAGGAAGAGGATGTAATGGACTACCTGCCACAGACGGAATGGACAGCAGATCCGAAGCAGGTCAGAGAAGGAGCAGGGGGGGGCCGAAGGGAAGACGTTGACGAGGACGAGGACGAGGACGAGGACGAGGACGAGGACGAGGACGAGGAAGGGCCAGCAGAGGTGAGGGGAGCAGAGGCGCTGGAGGAAGACAAGGCCGGAGTGAGCTCAGGAGAAGAAGGAGAAGACTACGGGGAAGACTTCGACCAGGAGGAGGAGGGGCGGGAGCATCAGGAGCAAGAAGCTGCAGAGATACAGAGTCAGCTTGAGGACACAGAAGTTGAGGAGGAGGAGGAGGAGGAGGAGGAGGAGGAGAACACTAGGCACCATGTGCAGCGGGGAGCAGGGGAAACAACACCGGGTGAAGAATCTCAACCAGACATGGCAGAAAGCGGTAAGGAGAGTTATGGCGATGACTGGGACGAAGAGGAGGACAGGATTCCGAATCAGCAAAAGGAAGGAGATCTGTCGGAGGAATCGGAAGAAACAACGACGGTCGTGGAGCAGGCGAATGAGGAAGAAGCAGGAGCTGCTAGTACCAGCTCCGGGGGGCACGGGGAGGCGTATGGGGAAGACTTCGACGACGATGAGGATGAGGATCGTGGGGGGGCAGCAGAGGTGAGGGGAGCAGAGGAGCGGGAGAAAGGCAAGGCCGGAGCGAGCTCAGGAGGAAGAGAAGACTACGGGGAAGACTTCGACCAGGAGGAGGAGGAGGAGGAGGAGGAGGAGGAGGAGGAGGAGGAGGAGGAGTCCTCTACACATCCTCCACCACAGCTGAGGGATGGAGGGAGAGCGGGAGGCAGTGTAGCAGGGGACGCAGAGGGCATCTCTTTCCTCCGACTCGCCTCTCAGAGTACTATGCCTCTCTCGCTCCTCTCCCTTCCTCGCTCCTGACCTCTTGCCTTTTAGGTGGGGAGGCCTGCAGGGCATGCATGCTCATACAGAGGAACGTCCGATGCCACCTTGCTCGCAGGATGTTTATGGCGGAGCTCCTCCGGCGGGAGGGTGCTACCGCCGCGGTGGAGGAAGGGGAGGAGGACGAGGACGGTTACAGCGGGGACGTGGACAGGAAGGCAAGGCGGGGGAAGAGGAAAGCTTGATCTAGCTCCCGTTACTCGATGAAATACCTCAGTACTGCATGTCTCCGATCAGACCATAACGGTCACTAACGGTCTGAGTGCCCGACTGTAGTAGTACGGTAGTCGGTCACGCCGGGTGCCATCGTGACGGAGACGGCGAGGCGGACCCGAGGGCAGCCAGGCACGGCCCCCGTCATGAGGCGAGCCCGGCAGGCGCGGGCGGATCCAAAGGTCATTGGGCAGGTAAAAGTAGTTGTTGGTCGGCCTTCTAAAACCTTTTTAACAATAAAGTGACATAAATAGAATCTTAAATCGTTTTGTTTGCCTAAAACATTATTGCACCTCCGGCAGGGTTAAATGAGGGCTCACTGATTGGAATTGCCGGCGCTGCGGTCCATACTCTTGGTGTCACCAGTTGAGGAGGGTGGGGGTGGTGAAGGGAGGGGTACATCATCCCTTGAAGTGGACTAAACACCACGGGAAGAGACGGGGTCAAGGCTAGATGGGGTGGATGGAGGGGGTGGGGGTTGTTTTTTGCCCGGCAGTCGTGGTTTGTCAAGTCACCCTCAGGTCATCTCGGGATGGTACTCGGAAAAGGGGGTAGGGGTCATGTCAGCGGCTCCCAGACCCGGACTACCATAGTCCCCAAGTACTACAAGTACCCGGTGGTCTAAGTTAGAAAACCAGGTACATCTGTCGGAGGGGTACTTCGAAAAGAGCTGGTTCAGGTTGGGAGGCTGTCGGTTGGATTTCTGGAGGGGTAAACATCAAGTTCTGGATGACCCCCCTGAGGGAAACAGGGGATATTTAAGGTATTATGGAGGGGTGAGAAAGTATCATATAATAGCCCCTACCCCCCCATTCGAGGCAACAAGTCAACAAAAAGAGCAGTCCCCTACAAATGACCACCCCACCCTTGCTCTTCCACCTACGGTGTGAAGGGAGGGTACATTTACAGCCGTGCGATTACTAAGTGCTAGGGGTAGGGTCAAGCGCTTCGTCTGCGAGAGAATGACCGAGGAACGATTGAGGACGGATGAAAGATGGGTGGAGAGAGGAGCGGGAGCGTGAGGAGAGGGGAGAGGGCAGAGGGGAGAGGGGCGGGAGAGGGAGAGACAAGAGGAAACAAGAGGAAATGGTGTATTTAGTTGAGATGTGAACATGAAAATTAAGTCAGGAGAGCGCAGGTTGTTCAGGAGGCAAGTCTAAATACATACAAGAACTGAGTAGCTGAAGAGAAGGAAAGCTTTGTTGACGAGGCCACATGGGCTTCTTTCTGCAACCATTTTGATCTGCCTTCTTTCTCAGTGGGTGCATGCGTTGTTTGTAGTAGATGAGGGTTTTCTCCGCTGCTTTGCCTGCAACTGCTCTTCATCATTGCTGACATCCCGTGCGGCAGAATGGGAGCAGATTTGAGTTGCTGTGAGAGTAGCAAAAGCATGCCAACGCCATGGCCTCTGCACAAAGGAGCGGCGAGAGGCGACATGGCGGGATTGTGGAAGGTTCTCAAGGAAGAGCCATGGAGAGTCAACGAGCAAGACAACCAGGGGAACACGATGCTGCATTACGCTGCCTGGTACGGGCATCTCAAGACCATCAAGATGCTACTGAAGCTGGGAGCTCTACCAGACATTGTGAACCGAGAAGGCAGAACGCCACTGCACCTGGCGTACAGCAACAGCGAGATGGAGTGTCATGCTTGTTTGCTCGAGGCCTCGATCCTCACCAGCGAGAGCAGGAGCACCAAGATCTCAGACATGTCCATGTACTCGTCGACAAGTGAAAAGGGGAAGTCAACAACTGCCAGCTCCCCGATGATGTCGTTTGTGCCTGCGCAGTATGACTTCACTCCGAGGGATTCGACATTGTTTTCCATCCAGGACACCCGAGCCAGCGACGAGAGCCGATCTATGTCGCGATGTGTTTCTTCTGAGGGTCAAGTCAGGAGACCTGAGCAAGACAGCCTTCAAAGTGCCAAGTCTCATGCTCAAGCTCCTGAAGTCGCGCGATTCTCTTCCGTGCTTCCTGTGGCCACCTGGTATCTGAGAGAGACCTCGACAACGACCACCACCCCTCACTCCACCGTCAGCGACGACCTGAGCTTCCCGTCAACAGCAGGTTCTTCCTGTGCGGGCAGTCCTCTTGGTACAAGGGGAAGAAGAAGAAGGTGCCAGCTCCGATGAACAACCTCGAGGCGGCAGTGCACGTGCCCCAAATGCCGAACCCTCACGAGTTGGACTCGCCAATGGCGCTGAAACCAGAGAAACTCGTCCTGACGCCGGCGAAGCAGCGGCTGATGGACATGGGTCACTACATGAACGCTGACGTCCCTCGCGGCCCCGTCAACTCGCAGTGCCAGGACACAATCATGGAAGTGAGCAGCGACGGGCCGGACGGGAAAATCGACCCCAGGCTTGCAGCCTTCGGTAAGATGAGGAGAGACAGCGGGAAGTGGAGGAGCGGACCCTTCGGTCTCCGCCTGAGAAGAGTAAGCGGGAAGGCTTGAAGGGGAGGAGAACTGACTGTGCTTGATGTTTGTAATCTGAGGAATTTGACTGATGGAATTGAATTCAATTGAGTTTGTGGAGTTTCGCTCCACGACGTGTAATCTATTAATTAAACTGCTGCAAAGTTAACTAGAGTTGAACAAGTCCTGCATCTCCTGCTGCTGATTAACTGGAGGCGGCAGGAGAGGGATGACAAGCGAGTGTGTTCAGGGCTGGGTGAGAGGAAGAGAGGAGAGACGGTGAGAGGAGCAGGAGGAGGAGGAGGACCAGCAGCAGCAGCAGCAGAAGGAGAAGGAAGAGGGGAAGGGCTCAGTGGATTGCGATGAGCGTAACTTCGAGGTAGAGCGTCGCATTAGGAGGGATCAGCCCCGGGATCCCTCGCTCTCCATATGCGTAGTCTGCGGCAACTCCATCAGAACCGTTAGCACCTCCAGCTCTACCCCACCTGCTGTCATCGTGATCCTCGCCTTCTCGCCAAGGCTGAGCTGGGAAACTCCTTCGTCCCAGCCCTTGACAACCTGCGCCGGCTCAGCTGGGCAAGACGGTGGGGTAGAAGGTGCAGACCTGCCCTGAGTGGATCCTGAACTTGAAGGGCCTGCCTGCTGGTTTCTTCGTCTTGGGGTCGATGGGCCCTGCAAGGGAGCCGATCACATGGAGGAGAGAAGAGTGGGAGGGAGACGAGGAGGAGCGGAGAATGACGGTAAAAGGGGAGTGAGGGTCGGGTGAGGAGGAAGAAGATGACATTGGAGTGAAGTGGAGGGGGCGGGGGAGAAGCGGGGAGCAAGATGAGGGAACCTCTGTCCCAAGTGGAGTCGAACTTGTGCTCTCCTGCGCGGTCTAGGTAGCCTACGTAGTGCAGGGTGACAGTCTGGCGCTTAGATGGGTAGTGCTTCCCGTCCCCTGCCTGAATACTCTCAACTGTAATCCCCATGTACTGTGAGAGAAGAGTCAGCATTCATGGCGGGAAAGAGGGAAAGAAAAGATGAGCGATCATGCAAGTGAAGAGGTGGAGGAGGAATAAGATACAGTGCCGTGACCGTCCTTCCGATATTCTTTCCCATGCTTCCCTCACACTGTAGATCTCTGCTCTGGGATAATACGATTCCTGCTCCTGCTCCTGCTCCTGCTCCTGCTCCTGCTCCTGCTCCTGCTCACCTCAGTCTTCAAATCCCTCTC